AGGAGTTCCTACATTACTTTAAGAGAAGCTTCCATCGTCAAAAAAATCTAAATAAAAATCTATTTTAGGGTCAAGTTTAGATGTTAAAAAACCTTAATTGTCTATATATCCTTGATTTGTTAATGTGCTAAAGATTTGCTGAGAAACCGATGCCTTGATGTTTTAAGTAACAAAATTTTATGCGTTTAATTGAATTAAACACTCTAATATGAGAATATTTTCACCTTTTTTTTCATTCGAGAAATTATTAAACGTACCTGATTTATCAACGTATATTAGCAATTAATTGTATTGAGGAATATATGTTATCCAATTAGGGAGAGTTTGAATTTAGAAATTTCTATAATAGAATACATTTCTTATATTTACCTGAACTTATATATAAAGAGGTATAAAAAATATTTAAGCAGTTTACCCAACCAATAGACTTTAACCTATACTCAAATCTTTGAAATAAATATTTCCGCTCTTATCAGTTTGCTGAAGTTATAATTAAGTGTGTATTATCAAGTTCACAGAAGTAGGTATCTGCCTCAATCCTTTATTTCCTAAAATTAATAATTAATTATTTATCTATTTTAAATATTCTTAATTTGAAACTTTATGAATATAAATAAAATTTTACCAATAAAATAAGCACTTTTTTGATCTGGTGTCAAACAAACGCTGTTTGAATTTTCATCTGGAAATTGCAGCTTAGATTAAATGTAAGGGTTTTCTAAATCTTCAATATTAATGATGACTAATTCACCTTTTTCTATCTAAGTAGCAAGGAGATATTTTTAGTTAAATATCGAAATCACACTTTAAGCCCAACCATCAAGGGGTTGTTAGCTCAAAAGTACAGGTTACGTTTTATTCTCAATATTCATTATTAATATACCTTAGAAGCCATTACACACAAATGAATATCTTTCATCATCAGATAAAATCATATATTCAGAACCAAGTTTTTGCAGAAAATAAACTAACTCTATCTTTTAATTATTAAAATCAAAAAAGAGTAACCCTTCTTCTCTACAAGCACAAATAATTGTATGAAGATCACTAGTAATTACACATTTTTCAAAGCTACAAGAAAATTTTGTATTTAAATAGGCTCCTATATTTACTATTGCTTAAGGATTTGATATATTAAAAATACCAAACCCATAAAAACCATTTGACATAATAAGAATTTAGTTGCTTCT